AATTCAATTGTTGTCTTTCGGCGTTTATAACTATTATAGAAGTGTAATTTGGGCGGCGGTGGTGTAACTGTTAGCGTACCGGACTATTGTACGGTTCGCGTTCAAACCCGATCGAAGCCGTGGATTTTTAAGCGCGAAAAAATCCTTTGTACGCCTTCCTTCGGAGGGGACGTAAGGCCGGCTATCCCATGTTAGTAGATTTACTTGCATATAAAAGATATTCAAAAAATCCTAAATGACGCCTTTGAGCTAAATTCCAATTGCCTGTTTGTCGCCCAAGAAATACCGGCGTGCCGTGACGCCACTGGGTTGTCTGCACCAATAAAATTTATGCTTTCATTTGGGTCTCATCGAGAGATTAAGGAATAGACAAATTATAATTGTATGGATTGATGTTAGCGTTCGAATTTAAATGTAGTGAATTATGATGCATTTTTTGAGAATAAGAAATTGATTAATGTTTATGATGTAACCACTACAACGCGGCGTGGCTGCAACGTCTTCAGCGAATTTAACCGGTTGAGACGCGTAGGAAGAATCTTATGAAATCTGGGAGGCGCGCTCCTGCGCCCGGTTAAGACAGGCAACGAAGGACCGAGAGGACGCGAGGCACAGCTCCGTCGATATCAAATTCCGAGTATCTGGCTATGGCCAGAGCTAAACGACATTGTAATGCAAGGCATGGAACGTACATTTGGATTACAATAAGTGATAAATTGTACCAAGCTTGTAGTTACAGGATTTGCATTCAATTATAAGATGCGTATTGTATTTAAAATATATAGAATAAAGAGCTTATTGCTTCTTCTAACAACTGTTTAAGAAACTTTAAAAAAATACATTTCAAGTAGTAAAAAGTGAAGGCAGCTTTTAGTCTGTAAGAAGGAAAACATTTCTTTATTAACTTCATGAGAGACACGTGAATTTGTTTTAATTATTTTACTGTCACATCATTATTTAACTACTGTCATTAATGTTTCTTTTTGTTTCTTTTTTAAATAGGCCAAAAAACCTGACTCTGATGCTGAGATTGTGGAAGTCACACAGTAAGTTGACATTCTTTATTTGACAACTAAAAAGTTGGCATTATGTAGTGTAAATAATTATATCTAATGAATGGTAAGCTCTATTTTAAATGGAATCAAAATTATTGTTTTTTTGAAGGGGAGTAGCTATCTACATTACAAGTAATTTTAACAAAATGCAAGAAGTGACAGTGCACTTGCCTGTTATGACTTTTGCCTCTCTTTATGAGCAGTAGACGTCATTCCTAATTCTTAAGAACCGTCCATAAATTACGTGACGCGAATTTCGAGTATTTTGAATGCTCCCTCAATCCCCTGTAACGCGCGATTGAACCCCGACCCCCTAAATAATAATGTAATGCGTTAAAACTCCCCTTGTAAATGCAAGAAGTGAAAATAAATTATAGCTTAGTAAAAAAGTATTCATTTATTTGTGTTATGTTTTAAAATTTATGATAATTCAAAGTACAATTAGTTGTCGATGCTGGCTGTACTTGACAATAAGACTGAGAGCACATATTGAGCGAAGGAAGGACGCACAGGCGAGAAAATTTCTGATAACAAGCCATCCACACGCCGCGCCGCCGCTGTGGATGGCGCATGGGCGAGAGTACTGCGCCAATTTAATTGTACTCTGCAAAATACTACAAATCAGTACTGAATATTTTCTGCATGATCTTACAGATTCAATTCAAAATTGATAAAAATATTTCCATTTATTGTAACAACTTCTAATAACTTTAATAATTATCTAATTAATTTGTTTTAAAACAAATAGTTTAATGTTTTAGTATAAGAGTCAAAAAAGGAAATATTTCAACGATACTTACGCCTCTAAGGGTCACTCTGCCTCAACCCCCCTTCTCTCCCCTTTGGCATTACGCAATTTATGGACGACCCCTAACACTGCAGTGATGCCACCAATATATCCCCAACGTTCTGACCCTCTGTAAAACCACAGGTTCACATTGCATTTATCTGCGAAATGTTAAATGTTATTTACTATTATTTACACTATGCCTAAAATATACTGTTGTGTAAGTAATAAGTTATTGAGAAATTTGTTATTCCCTATTAAAAATTTTGAGGATTCTAAATTATTTAACTTCCTCTCTACAAGCATCAACTGATACCACTGCAGTTCCTCTGCCATGGAGGTCCTATGTTGGAGTCCCGACGGTGGCGAGATTTTCGACATTAGCTTGTCAGCTAGGCCGAATTCATCCGGTCTGGAGGAGAATTCTAGCGACCGGCTTCTCTGATCTGTAGTTTTCCGTGGTTTCTCTGATCAACACCAGAGGAATACCCTACCAAACGGGCCACGGATCGCGCGATCTTTCGTACCTCTTCCTTGTCTTATCCTCTCCCCTTACACACCAACATGCACTACACAAGCACACATGCCGGGAGATCGGTCAGGAGCTTAGAGCTTGTCCCGGCTGGGGCTGTGCCCAGCTGGTTGGGGAACAGTCCGCTGGCCGACGGTAGGTCGGCGCCGAATCTCGTCATACAGCAAGGGAAAGATCACCACCACCACCACCACACAAGCAAAAACATGCACTATATTTACGGGACTAATGACTGGTAGTTGACGTGCCCGAAATCACTATAACAACCAGTCGATCCAATCCTAAAAAAGATAGGAGTGTAAATATATTCCAACTTCAACCAGATATCAGGCCGACCTTCAAACTGTGTGTGTGTGTGTGTGCAGGTTCACCTCCCATCCCTCACGTTAACTGTAACTTCTATATCTCCCCAGGACAAACGGTGTCAATTGACGAAATCCTAGGCCTAATAAACCAATTGCCCACATCTATCTTGCTTGTTGGTGATGTATGCGTAAACGCCCACAGCCCTCTTTAGGGTTGCTCCCGTACTTGCCTTTTTTGGAATTTGTGATCGACACCACTACTCTGGCGATTCTCAATAAAGGTGAACCAACACACCGCCTTAGCTACGAATTCGAGCACGGTTGTTGACGTAGTGCATTGCAGCCTTTCACTCGCTACTGCTGTGCAGTTGATTACATTGAATGGGTACCATTGCTCCACTAGTGTCCGCACCGACCAACTACGTCGTTGGTTTCGTCGCCTCCTCAACGGAACGCGCAACGTGCTGACTGGTTGACAGTCCAAGCTGATGTTGACCAATCAGATGGTCCCTTCGACGATGTGAATGAAATGACTGCACATTTCTGAGCGCTCTACTCTTTGCTGCTTCTATCGCAATTCCAAATTCAACCGGTAAACTGCAACATCCGTGGCCGAATGTGAACTACTCTAGAGCAGTCAGTGCTCGTGAAAAGGCATTGTTCAGGCTCAAGCATTATCTAACTGTGGATAACCTCGTCGATTATAAAAGATGCAGAGTCAAGACGAGAAGAACAATTGTAGAGGACAAAAATGCATTGTGGTTATCACACGTCTTCTCTCACAATTGTCACAAGCCACCACATCTGGTGTAGAGATGAATTCGTCTGATAAAAGGCTAAATGTTGTTATAGATCTTAAAAAGGGAGAAATGATCACTTCTCGAGATGTGATTGTAGAGGAACTCCCTACGTACTATGAGCACATGTCAAGTTCGGCGAACTACGCCCCTGAACTTTCATATGGTTAAAGAGAGGAAGGAGCGTCTCCCATCGGAATTGCCTGTTCCTTTCCGACCTGTCCCTTTTCTTTTAACCTTTCTATTTCACTGCCCCCCCCCCTGTATGCTGAACCCATGTGTTTGCTGTAAATGCGAACCGTGTCGGAGGGAATGTGTGTCCTGGCAGATAAGGGACCTGTTTTCGAATTACTTCTTGTGCTACTTTCTGCTTTGCACCTAGGGTTACTTATTTTGAGGAACACTCCTTGTAGGTTTCCAACACACTTGCTCTGGCCTCGAACTCTTCTCGACGGGCAGTCCAGAGCTAACCCACTCCCTATCAGTCGGCTGGGTCTTAAACTGATCTTCATGATGATCAAGGGGATCCACTGCGGGGCAGCGCTGTTTATCCCTTCCCCCCCTATCTCTCCGTGGCAACCCTGACCCTCCGATGTAGTGTCCCCTTGTTAGGCCCCTTAGAGGGTGGGGACAGCGGGGATGAATCTTACATCCATCTCCATGTATTAACATAAATGGAGATGGATGAAAGGTGGATAACCTTCTCCCGGGCCCTTCGCAAGGAAGAAATGTCTGGAACGAACTATTGACTTAAATAATTTCTTTTATAAGCTGAAGATAGGCCGAAGGTTCATGACATGAGCCAAGGAAGAAAACGTTTAAAAACGTACGTACTGACCGTCTAACAAGAGCCATAGAGGAAGCATACAGGAAACTCCAATCGGCCATGCGAAGAGTCAGGTCGTGACTGAAGTGTGTAGGATCAAAAGCAAAATAGTAAGGGAAAATTATCCCTCCTTCAATTACGATCCTTACGTTTGACCGTCCGTCCCCCTGGTTTCTACAACCTCCATGTGCGATAGTATGCACAAATAAAGCGCTGTTTTAAGTGTCAAGGGTTTGGGCATACCCAGCAACAATGTATGTCGGTAAGCCCAGTGTAAGGGAAGTGCGATGCATCAGTGCACGAACCACATCCCTGCGCTAAACCGCCGCACTGTGTCATATATGAAGGCGACAATCCAGCTAACTATAACTAGTGCCGTATCTTTCTTCGGGAAAGAGAGAATCAGAAAAAAGGAGTGACTGGAAGTTTCCCTTCCCTGAGGCCAAACGTCACCAGGTTAGAAATTCAGTAGACCCGTCTCGTTGCTTCTCCAATGACATAAAGACAAAGTCCTCAGGGGAAAGGAAAAAGATTCCAGTCAGATATCGCCTGTGAACAAGAATTCGTTATCGAAGACTTGTCCACTACTACTTCAGAGACTTGCATTGAGCGTAGATATCGGTCGTCTGTGGCAGAAACGGGAAATCCCCCCAACACAGGCGACCAGCCCCAGCAGGAGTCGGGATGACAGCTGTTGACGAGGAGAACCATGAGAGTTCCTCTTCATTTCAAAAGGTGAGAATAATCCAAAAAGGAAGTCCCTGAATGGAATTTAACGGTTTTTGCACATTCAGAAAAATTGAGACTGATAATTTCTCGCCATAGACCATTCTGCCTTCACAAAAATCATCTTCCCCATTATTCACTCTCTCGTCACGGGTTTAGCATGTATCAATTTGATTAAGACGTCGGACTCCGTACAGTGGTGTTACGGTACTTATCTGTGACTCTTTGTTCTCTGAGGAACGAAACGTTCGAACCGGCATTTCAAACGTGTTCGGACCGTCCTTTTCGATAGTGGTGTGCAATATACACATTTGTCTTGGCAAAGTCGTGTCAGAACAAGAAATTTAAGATGTGTTTTCCCAGTTGCCCGCCTCTTTTCTTATTGGGATGTACTATAATGTCCACAATCCCGCCTGGGGTGGCACATGGACCTGCCCGAGAGGCAATATGCGTGAAAATATTGACAACCTGAACAATTATAATTGACTTGCAAGGCACACATTTTTCTGTGACTTTAAACACTTTCTCGTCTGTTGATCTGGCTCTCTACAGTCCATCTCTTACTCTACCGTCTTTGCGAGGACTGTCCGTGGTGACATGCATTGCATTGCCTGCAAGCTAGATTGACCATACGGAAACATAAGGCCTCATCTTGGAAAGCTTATATTTCATCTCTCTCTTGCCGTATGCTGCCTGAAGTGTGGCGAAATGTTCGACAGATCGGAGGCAGACTTCCTTCGCCGTCTGTCTCAGGGTAAATGAAAATCTCGCCTCACCAGAAGATATAGTTGAAGAATTGGCCTCTGCGAGCATATCTCCAGCTCCGCGCACTACTCTCCTGACTTTCTGAACACCAAAAGAAGAATGGAGAGCGTGTGCAAAAGATTCTGCTCCAGGACTAGCCCATATACGTAATCAAATGCTGAAACACCTACAGTTAAACGCTCGGTATTTACTCCTCAGCATTGTCCACCTGATTTGGTGGACCCATCCCTAAACCATTCCTAAACAAAGGAAGGACAGAACAATCTCTTCAAGTTACCGCGCAATCTCGCTCACAAGCTGTGTGTGAAAGCGAATTGTAAAAAAAAAGTATTGTCTGGCTCTTGGAACAAAGGGATCTATTTACACCTTTTCAATGTTGTTTCAGGAAGAAGAGGTCAACCATGGACCAATTAGTATCCCTTGTCACACAGGTTTCCACTTCTTTCGTGCTTCAACACTTGTTAGCATTTTTTTCGACAAAAAAAGCATGACACCACTTGGTAGTACGGCATTCTTCGCACTTTGCATTCTTGGGGCCTTGGAACGGTTCCCTTTGTTTCTAATAGATTTTCTTCTAAGATCCTTCCGCAGCCGCCTTGGTCACACGTTATTCTCAAGCCACCAGTTTAAAAAAAGGTGTTCCCCAGGGATAAGTGTCGCTGTTTGCCATTGCTGTCAATAGTATCGATCAGTAATTCGAGAGGCTGTGAAAGCAACACTCTTCGTTAACGACTTTGTGATATTTTGCTCTTCGAAGAATATGCAAGTTATTGAGAGGAAGTTACAGCTTGTCCTCAACAAACTGCAAGAATAAAGCGATAACACTGGATTCAATATTTCCATCTCATAATCCAGTTGCATGCAATTCTGTAAATTGCATAATTGCATGTAATCACCTCCATAATAATCGTGATGTTTTTTGGGGTATATTAACTTCCCTTCGTCGAATTTCCTTGACCTGACATTCGACAAGTGTTTAACAGGACAAAAGCATAATCAAAACGTAGAGCCGATGTGTATCAGAATTGAACCTCCTTCGCACCCTTACTGGTAGATCGTGGGGCTTAGACCGAATCATCCGTCCTATCTTAGATTATGGGTGTATTGTTTATGGGTCAGCGTCTCCATTGACCCTCCAGTCATTGAATACCATACACAGTGGCGGTATACCAATCAGCACTGGCGCCTACCGCGAGTCGCATTCAATGCCTCTTGGCCGAAGCTGATGAACCATCCTTGAGCCGATGGCGAGATATTGTAATCTGCTCCTCTGGTACGAAAGTATCAACTATAAATACTCCTTAGCTCGAAGCAGTTCTTTACCAATGTCACAGGACATCGTACGCACTCTGATAATCGTCCCCATTCTCCGGGTATCCGTCTATATTCGCTTTTGTCTGGTTCCCTTTGTACGTTTATCCGGTTTTAAATACACCTGAGATTATCAAACTTCCTCAATTCCTCAACTCCCCCAGTACATTTCTGACGAAATTTCAGGAGACGAAATCCATGTATCCCATCTGTAACTTCATATACACATGGTTCCGTGCAAAATGGTAATGTAGGGTGTCTACTACTGCCACAGTATCACGCGGAGTCTTCGAATTGAGTCTTTGTGTAGCGCTTATACTGCAGAAAAATATGCAATCTTGGAGGCACTTACGTTCACTGAATCGATGAAATTAAAAGAAGTAGTGATTTAAAAAAGCTCGCTCAAATCTATCTCCTACTTTTCTTCTTTGACCCTCTGACAATTATCATCCAACATCAAATTCATCATTTATTGATGCGTCGTTACATTTTAGTTTTTGTTGGATCTCTGGCCACGTTGGGATGTTAGAGAACAAAATTGCTGACCAGGCAGCAAAGCCCATCACGAAAAAAACGAGATAGACATCCTCACAGCAACAATAAATGATACCAAGGTCTGCACTATCAAACAGTTTATTCTCAGTGCATGGCAGCAGAACTCAGATTTCAAACTCACGAGAATAAAGCATTCCATAAAGCCTTGGTCTTCAACTCGTGGATCAAGCCCGAGAATATTATTCTGACACGCTTTCGGAGCGCTCATTGCTACTTCTCCCACGGACATCTCTAGGATGATCCTCGTATTTGCCTAATAGTTTTGAGACGTATTTTACCGTGGCGCATGCTCTCTTGCTCTGTTATAAGGTATGAGATAGCCGTAGAAGGCATCTCCTTGCTAGCTAACAGAGGTACTTGGAAATAACGAATCTTCTCTCTGCAAGCTTTTTAGCTTCTTACGAGACATTTACAGCATTATCTGAGAGAAAACAATAATACCAATTATTTTTCTTTTGGTTGGAGATTTTAAAGGTATTATCAGGCTCTTATCTGCCGAACACATTTTTTATAATTGAATACTTTTATTCCGTGTGTACTCACATTTTACTTTACATTAAAATGTTATAGTCTGGCACTGCTACAGTGCGTAATGCTTTTAACCTTAGCTGTTGAAGCGCCTTTGATAATCGTCTTCCGCGTTGGACAGATTCTGTTTTATGCTGTGATGCCAATTAACTTCACGAGTCGGAGAAAATTTCCGGTTAAGGCACGTTTCCGACTTGCACAGCTTGTGTATTGTTTCGACAGATATTAACTGTATTAATATTGAATTTGAGTTGTGTCATTGCTCTTAATGTAATATTATTTTTTCAGGAAGTAGGATTTAATTTTGTTTTGTTTCAGTCATGGAAGTCCACCAAATCATCAAAGGGCAAAAGCGGCGCAGAGTTTGCTGCAGTGTCCAGAATGCTTTAAAACGTTCAAAAGGGCTTGTGGCCTTGGCAGCCATCGTCGGATCCACAGAAAATAAATGCCATGTATTTGGACATTGACATCGTGTGTATACGTGTTCGCGTGTGTGCTACAAAAGTTCCTGTAATATCCGTGAAGTGGATTGAAATTTTAATTTTGGATCAAACTTTTAATTTTATTACCTCGTCCCATACACGCTATCCTACTCTTTTTTTATTTACTTCATATATTGCAAACACCTAACTTTATTCGAATGATTAAAACAGAGCACCAATAAATATATTTTTCGTGCATCGTATAAATCACGCCTCTTCTCCTAATGGAAAAACACTTTTAACATCTAGCAGTAGACGAAATTTGAAACCCAACGCATTGAAACGAATGTACTCAAACTTTAATTCTATCTATTGAATGGCTCCCCATGCCCAATAATTTAGTGCTTGTGATGTCAATGTTTCCCCATTGTTGGAGAAATTGTGTGGTAAATTTGATTTTATTATCTCCAGGGAGACATTTCTCTCATGGGATCCTTCCATAAGCAAAGAAAATGTTTTCCTAAACAAAAATAATCAAGAAGATTTTAAATCAAAGTTGTGCTGAACAAAAAACTTATTTTGTATGTTTGTAAATTTGTATGTTTGCTGGTTTTAATCGTTAATAATTCATTGGCCGTTTATATTCACCTATGTTCTCAACTACAATGAAACACCTCTTAAAGTCTTACCATAAATTATGGCCATCTTGAATTTTACGGTAATTTCAGGCTTAATAATATTTATTAAGTTTCTAAGTGACTTTATATTATATTACAGAACTCAATCTAATTTTGAGTC